GCTCTCAGGCTACCCGGGATACAGCTCCCAGCTCCCATACCCTCCGCTTAAGATTAATCGCCAGGGCTTTGAAGTGACGCCAAGTTTGGTGTCAAAAACTGCGGCAAACAAAAAGAGCCCGCACCACTCCGGCAAACGAGCCAGGCTGGCGAGTGTTAATGAAGCACAAATCTCTCACTGTGAAAATAATTTTACTTTAGAGTTTTGTTTAGAGAATCCTCAAGCTCCCTTGAGTTTTTCTAGACTTTCCCAGAGTTTCTTTATAAGAAAATGTGAATTTTCCTGCACTGATTAATAGGTTTGTAATCAGTTAATAATGTTCATTATTGCAATTGAACTTTATATTATTTTTGCAAGTGTTGAGCCCAAAGTGGAGCTGTTGCTGTGGCTTTTGCTAAAGTCCCGAAGTGGCTGTTGTCTTGCCATGTGGGCCCACCCACGCATTCTCTTCAGCAGCACTTTGCATTAAGGCCGACGTGGAGTGTTGAAGTCGCCTCTTATTTGACTCGTTTTACATTTGCAGCTGCGCCTGGAATAACGGTAGATCCCCCATAAAGATCATAAAGATCCTCGCGATCTGACGTGATGGGATGTGATGAGCCACCCACTCAAGCCAGGCCTCCACCTGGAGTGGAAAGGATGAGACGCGACTATCGTGGCGGTGGCGGTGGCGATGGCAGCTTGAACTTGCCCCTGGCTGGGATAGGGGATTGATTACAAGCGGATCACAACGGATCAGGATACATTAGGTAAACATCATTAGATGCTCCGAGCATCGGATGGAGGTGAAAACTCCGTCTGTGCCATCGTCTTGGATCTTTGTTTGCCATAATGACGAATTGTTATTCTGTGCGATGGCAGAGGGGCTTACTCCTAGATTAAAGGATCATTTGCATAAATCGATCAGATTGTCTTTGGGGGCTCTGCGGATTTTGCCTTAATGACGATGATAGTCATTGACGTAGCCGAGAAGAAAGGCCAGATCCGCTGAAGATTTCTTTATTCAGCGTGTGAGGGGAGGATTGAACTAGGCAAAGAGGTCTCAATTGCAAGTGAAGAAGACCCTGGCTCAAGAATCTTTGACTTTCTTCTTCGTTAGGTAAAAGTAAAGACTTGAATTTAATTAAGTTTACGTATCGGATGACCTGCAATAAGCCCGATCAGGCTCCAAAGCCAAAGGAAACTCATCGACACAGGTGTCGGTGCTAGAGAACAGTTTTCTTTAGGTTTCAGTCATAAGATTTGGGGTTAAGAAATCCTATTTGCGACGATTCATGTTCATATTTATATTCTAACCCTGTCTTAATCATTAATAAAGACACTTGTAAATAAGCTAAACTTGTTGGTTTTATTGGCTAGCTTATTGCTTTTTTTCCCTTGTTAGCCTCCATCTCAAATATCCTTAGACTCTGGTAAGCCACTGACCCCGCTGACGTTTAACGACTATTAACCTCCGACAACCCTTAACACCTGGCTGCCATCTCCCATCTCCGACATTTCCTCCGCGCCTCTAGACCACCGGCTTTGATTTCCCAGAAGCCCCACAACAACCATCGAACGTTTTGCACATATTTTAGCTTACTTTAAACGGCCAACTTACAAAGCCCAGATGAGGAAAAGCAACTGCAGGGGAAAAACCAGCGGAGAAAAACTTTTACCACAAATCGGATTTCCTGCATCGATTTGTGGTCTTCGCACGCGTCTCCAAAGTCGAACTCAAACTCTGACTCAAGCACTCAAGACTCAAACTACAAAGCAAAGTATAAAGTAGATCACAGAGCAACGACTGCCTTTTGAAGAGATCAGCTCCAGCTCCAGCTCGATATCGGAATCAAAGACAACGCACAAGGCACTCTCAAATGCCAGAGATATTTCCCAAGGAAATAGAAGAGATTCTTGTGCCGGCGGCCCCACTTTTCCAAGAAGCCAGCCAAGAAGTAAGTGAGGAAACGTGTGTGCAAGTTTTTCCCTTATTTGTTCACCAAACACCGAACGCCGAACGGATGACATCTAGCAGGCCACTCGAGAGTGCGCTTTATGAGCTATAAAAATATGTGCACAGAGAAAGATTGTTAAAACAATCACGATCTGGAGTTTGGGATTAATTTAGAGCTAAAGGAGAAGTGATCTGGTATGCGTCCTGAATGACTACAGAAGTCGACACAAAAAAAGAGAGTAGTTTCACGGCTTTAATTACCTGTTTACTCAACGATGAACTTATGATTGTCAAGAGTAGTTATGCATTTGCTTTTCATAACAGTCCAAAGGCGTCTCAGGTTTATTTTAAATGTGTTTTGACGCAATCAAGTTAGAGAGCGAGTGTGGTAATCAACCGGGGCGGTTTAAATTAAGACTCCAAAGGGTTTCTGAAGTAGGTCCCAGTTATTGGAGGCTCCCTACCTATTAAGACATGATTCCCCAGAGCTTCCTTCGATTAAAGTGCGAACTATTAAAGTCACAAACTGCCCGTAAGTTATTCTATTTATGATAGAACAGGGTCCTCCAAACTCCTCAAACTCCATTCCACTCTTCAACTGGGTGTGGAGAACGTGTTTAGCCTGATTGAGGCTCCTGCTCCTGCTCCTGCTCCTGCTCCTGCTCCTGCCTCCCACCAGATCCCCCTCTCGATGGTCTCGCCCGACAACGTGCTAAAATAGCCCTGAGGACTAACTCCATCTCATCTATCGAAGGGCCCGGCCAGCTACTAATTGCCTGGGCACGCCTGCAACTGCCATAGGAAAAACGAGAAGCAGATCGGATCTCATCAAGCGAATATGCATATTCATAGTCTGTCATAACGAGCTGGCGAGGAGGAGAGGTTCCAGATTTGAGGCACTCCTCATAACTGCACAATTACCTAGTTATTTTAATTAGCCAAAAAGGCAGAGAGAAAAGTGGGAAGTAATAATATTAAGCAGCAAAGAAAAGTTGAGCAAGTGCGCTGGCAGGGGAAAATTGAGGTGACAACACATAGGAAATGTCTAAATATACAAACAAAAGCTGGACAAAGCATAAATCACCTGCAAGGGGGGAGCCGGCAAACAAGTTAATGAATGTATCTGAAAGATACATCTGCATAGAGCGCAGAGAAAGACTCGACAAATAGAGTCCGCCGAAGAGCAAAAAGCGGCTATAAAAAGCGTTAACAAGACAACAACAACAACAGCAGCAGCTACAGCAATTGGCAAACAATAAAATACACTTGGCGGATTTCGGATAGCTACTAAATTGCAGTTAACAATTCCCGGCAAATAAATTTCCGCTGTCTGCCAGATGTGGGTCAACCGGAGCGGGGTGGAGAATGTTTGAGGAGGGGACGCCTTCTATTTTGTATCTCAGAAGCTTTCAATGCCAGCGGCCAGCATTTCACTCTTTGGCTCGCGTGTTGGGCAGTATGTTTTAACTACCGTTCGGAGAGTATCTCATGGATAGCAGAGCTCTCGACTCTTCCGACCACTTCCCAGGGACCATCATTAATCACCTTCCGTCAATCCCGAACAGCCTGCCAAATGTGTTCCAGCGCTGCATCCATATCTCCAGGTTAGCTGGAACGCAGCGCAGCGCACATTTGGCTTTTATCACTCGATCCGTACCAAATAAACTGCAGGAAAAGTAGAAAAGAAAAACACATTTGTGTGCCAGATTTTTCGGCGTGAAGAATTTCGAATCGAACGAGACGAGAGCCAATTCAATTGGAGGAAGAGAACCAACCTAATGGCTTCTTGGGGGAAAACATGCGAAAATAATGCCTAATGGCTGGCAAAACTTCAATAGATGTGTAAAGTTGCCAGATGGAAACGGAACCCCTTTGAAGTTGGCTTTTATGAGAACACCACAAAAGATATAGCCATAACGAAAGCTGCAAGCGAATCTTCACTTCTGAGGAGTAAATACTCAAGAAATATTCCTTTTCAATATTTTGTTTGTCATTTATTCAGTTCCAAATATCAATACGAATACAGATTCCTCATTTAACCATGGTAGACGTGGTGACCGTAGGTGGGCACAGCGTAGGACTTCACCACGGGGACATTGTGGACCACGGGCACATGCTTCACAACCGAAACTTGGCTGACCACAGGGACATGCTTAACCACTGGGACCTGGTGCACCACCGGGACATGCTTCACCACAGGAACCGCCGAAGCCACTGACACCACGCTGTAGTGGGGCTCAATGTAGCTGGGAGCAGCAAAAGTCATGGCCACCAGGGCGAGGAACACGGCGATCTGAAGGGATATTAATCAATAGAGAACCAAACTCAAAGGAAGGGCTCCTTCTCCACTTACAAAACGGAACATCTTGAGGTCTTTGTAAGAATTTTAAACGAAAACTTGAGCTGGTTGTGACACTTGTGTGCTGGTCGAGTGACTGTTGATGATTGACCCGGCGAGACATCATTATATATAGTTAACACTTCAACCGAAAATAGACGCGAAGTGACTTCTGTTCAAGCGCCACGCGCCAAACCAGTTTAATTATACTTAATTTTGGGCATCTAGTTCGCCATAATGCGCATTCTAATTCGCCTCCACTCGAACTTCCCGTTATCGGCCGATTGTCTAACCTTTGGACATAATCCCCATTCAATAACTCTCCAATTGTGCCTGCCGCTTGTCCATCTTTGTCTGCTGCCCAAGAAGACCTTTGTCATTATATCGATCGGCTTCACGCGCTATTGATGATGCTCGGCGAGAACCAAGGTCATGTACACACAAAAAGACCTATATGAAGACACCAGCACCTCGGCCACCTCTGGGTCACCGGATAAGTCCATTCTCCAATTAAAATAAAGAATTATACGCAATAATCGTACGGCTAAACTTGTTTGCTCGGTCAGCAGATCGATAGGGTCATTATTTTCATCGTTGTCGTGACTTTTGGCTATATAAAGTAACCGATCTGTTGGTCAGTCATCAACAGTCACTCGACCACCGCACAAGTGTCACAACCAGCTCAAGTTTTCGTTTGAAATTCTTACAAAAAACCATAAGTTCAAGATGTTCCGCTTCGTAAGTATAAAAAAGAAGATGCTCTAAGGAAGCTGGTTCTCTATTGATTAATATCCCTACAGATCGCCGTGTTCCTCGCCCTGGTGGCCATGACTTTCGCTGCTCCCAGCTACATTGAGCCCCACTACAGCGTGGTGTCAGTGGCTTCGGCGGTTCCTGTGGTGAAGCATGTTCCGGTGGTGCACCAGGTCCCAGTGGTTAAGCACGTCCCAGTGGTCAGCCAAGTTTCGGTTGTGAAGCATGTGCCCGTGGTCCACAATGTCCCCGTGCTGAAGTCCTACGCTGTGCCCACCTACGGACACCACGTCTACCATGGTTAAATGAGGAATCTCATTCATATTGATAGTTGGAACTGAATAAATGACAAACTAAATATTAAAAGAAGTAAAATCTATTGCATTTTAATTTCGTATTAATACTTTCCTAGCCAGGCAATAGCTTCGGGGTTGTGAGGCGTCTCTTTAGACCCACTTAAAAAACATAAAAGTCTTCTTTAAAGCAGTTTCCCCTTAAGATTATTATGTCAAAATAAATACCGACTCCGACGGTATAAATAAATATAAATTAACAATTATATTTAACGCGTTTTTCGTGTCAACAATGGCTAAACTCCCTTTCGTTGCCGGCACTTTCCATTTTCCACACTTGATGCTTCCCTGGACTTTTATTGATCGTTTTATGGCGCATTTTGTTAAATTTAATTTTCACCTAGCGAATAGCCGTTAACCAGGCGAAGAGCCAAGTGAAAAATTTCTTCATTAATCAGCGGAATACACTGCAACGCCTTCCAGCTGCTGCTGCGCAATCCCGGCTCGTCTTTAATTTGAGCCAATTAAAGCGGCGACAAAGCCACCTCCGAATCCCGCCGAAAGCCAGCGAGACTGTGTCAGCCTTTCCCCTTTTTTCCCTGCTCGGCGTTCGATCTTCGTGTTAATGATGAACGTGAATGGATTGTACATGTTTTTTTTTTTTTTTAGCTAGAAAAACGCTCAAATAAGTTGAGAAAATATAAAAATAAATTGTGCTGGAAAGTATCAATGCTTTTGTTTCGTTTTTGCGACTGCGCAACTGTTGGTTATTTTCTGACTATGTATTGTCTGACTTTCGGTCTTTCTTATGGCCAAACTAAAACCATTTGTTGTCAACTCTGTTTTGTCAATTTTGCCCAAATTTTGTTTGGGTTTTAAGCTTCGCTCGGATTTCCTAACCACTTCCTTTCTGAATCTATGAAATGGACTTCAAAATAACATTATATCTCTCAATTAGAGAGGAAAGAAATAGTAATTTGCCGCTCGATTATGACGAAATCATTTGATCCGCTTCACGTGTGACGTACTCTGCGGTTTGGCTCTGTTTTTCTTTTGCTTTTTTGGGGGCTTGCCTCCTCTCCTTTGTGTGGTCTTTGTTGTCTGTGGTAATGACTTTATCCAGTGGCCACATACATAGGATCCCCGGCTGGCAGTTCGTTTGATAAATTATCCACTCGCTTGTAATAATGTTTTTCCAGGGCTGCTTTTGTTTTCGTTTTGTTAATTATCCGCTTTAATTGTTAATTTAAATCACGAACATTTTATCATCGCGAAGGAAAGTGAAACTCAATTGAACTTGAGATCTCTCACTCTCTCCGTCCATCTCACGTTTTCCCCCTCGTGTGTTATTCCCTTATGGAATTGGGCGTGTTTTTCGGGCTTGAAGAGAAGTAGAGAAAGGTCTAGTGATCGGATTGTTATGCGATAATGAGATTGGATTGCCTTTGCTCTTGTTGTGTTTGATTGAGGAGGAGTGGGGATTTAGCTGTAAGAGTCGATAATCCGAAATATATGTGGTAATCCCAAATAAAAGTAGGTTTACTTGGAAAATAATCTAACAGAAAAGCTTTACATCTTACTGAACACACTCTTTCTATCAATAATATTGTAATTATTGACTTTGGAATCCCCTTTTTCCATAATTTTGCAACACTTTACTAAAATGTTTGAGGGTTTAAAGAGTATTCGAGGGTAAATACTTATGGAAAGAAGGGAAAAGTGAATATGTTCTAGCATTAATTTCAACTTCCAACTTCACCTTGTTCTGGCAAAAATGTTGTCCTTACTATAATTCAACAAATTCACCAATAATCCACATTTTCCTTGTGTAATACTTCATCTAAACCCTACTTTTATGAAAAATTGTTTAATTTAAATATGACTTTTCAATAAATTTAGCTTTAGTCCAAACCCAAACTGCCCACGGACTGCACTTGAATGCAATTACAATTCAGTTAGGCCCAAACGATGGCAAATAAAATGGAAAGTTTATTTTAAGGTTCACTTAACGCTCAACGAAAGTTGAACTATAACTGAGCCAGGCGGCGATCGCAACTGAATTTCAAGTGGGGCTAACTACTCCCTGGCTAATTCGGTGGTTCCGATGTTTTATTGCCGCCCAGCAACCACCGAACCAGCAACCAGCAACCAGACCAGCATCTGGCAACTGGCCATATGGTCCCTGTCCAAGTCCAAGTCCCTGTCCACGTCCAGGTCCAGCCTCGCTGGGCGAAAGGTTACAGCAATTGTTATGCAAATCTGGCGGCGAAGGCAACACAATGGACACTACGTTCGATAGAATCGGACAAATCCCGGAGCGAACCGAATCGAATCGAATCGAAATCCCATCGGGCGAAACATGGAATTATGAGTGCCACAAAGTGGAGCACTTCCTCGACTGGACGACTCCCGCACAACACGAAAGCGGAATTGTCATTGCGATTATGGTCGCGACTGTCTCTTAGCTAATCGAGCGCGGTCCGAGTAAATACTCTAAATTGCGCCACCTTCACTTTTCCGGCTGCTTTTCCAGCGCGGAAAGCGACAAGCAGACTTATTTTCTCGCTTTGTCGCGCTCAGCTGCTTTGCTGCTTTGCTGCTTTGCTGCCTGTCTTTACCATATTTGGTGGCCTCCTCCTCGTGTTACAGGCTCGGGTTTGAAAACAAAGACATCCTTTCGGCGTAGTGGCGACAGGCAACATGATTGTTTACGCTTCACTTGACCAGAACAGCGAATGCTTAACCCATTGTGGCCCCAGGCAGGTGCGCGCAAAGGGGTTAACAAGAAAACCCCAAAAAGCCAAGCAGTTGTCAGCGATTTTTATCAGGAAAGTCGAAAGCCTTCGCTTGGATTCATTTCAATTCATTTTCCAGGCGAAACTTTCCTCAGTTGGTATATGTACATATAAATTCTGTTAGCCAAAACCCTACATGTTACCATTATCTCAAATCTTTTTCCCACAGCTTTAATCCCTCCTATGATTCTATGTTTCATAGTTTCAGATGGATCCATCTATTCTCTCTGGGCTTTGGCGTGCAATTAAAAAGGAGATTGCAGTCAGCACCTTGGGGAGCTTACCTCGACTCGAACATTGTCCGGCAGCTGACAAATTTTGGCTTTTTGCTTCACGGCGATCATCTCTCAATCGCAATCGCAATCGCAATCTGGATCTCCGTCTTCTCCGGCTGCTGCTGCCGCCTTTCCTTTTGCGTGGCCATGGGGCTTGATTGGAAGTGGGGCCTGGTCTAGTTAACAGCTTGGACTGGATGCGTGTCTCCGCCTCCGGAGAGGGGCAGGAGAAGGAGCAGCAGCATGGCCACTGACAATTGACAGAGACAAACGCCTAACAACTTATTGGAAATATGTTTAACCATTTTGGGCAATTGACATTTTGTGCTGCCGTTGTCGGGCCAGAGTCGCTCTCCTTCGCTCTTCTCCGGCCAATCGACAACGTGACAAAACAATTGTCGTAAATCAGGGGCAGCCAGTTGGAAGCTGGAGTTTCGGAGCCTTGGAGCTTGGGAGCTTAGCCAAGTGATTGCCAACTCTTTGGCCAGAAATGCTAACTGCCCACAATGCAAAACCCATGTTTTGTAATTCGTTTTTGTTTACTTTCATTTGACTCGTGGCAGTCTGCGTTTTTTTGTAAGGGGAGAAGCCAGAGCAAATGTGTTGCCGGACATTCCATTGAAAACATCCAAAAAGGAATTTTCAATTAGCCAAAAACCAAAACAAAGAAACCATTCCTGAATGGGTCAAGAAAATGAGCAAAGAAAGTTATTGGTTTTTTGGGCCAAAGACTTTTTACGTAACAGAAGAAAAGATAATGTAATAAACAAGATGCAAAATGGGAAGGCAAGAAAGACTTTTAAAATATATTAATATATTTCTGTGCATAGAACCAATTCTAAATATTATGTGTTAATATTAAAGGCTTTGATCCTATATAATATTCGTTTAAATTACATAAACGAATCAATTTCGTTCTTTTTATAAACGGAGTTTTCAGTCTTAATTTTCATATAAACACCTTCAGAAAACCCCAACTACCTCCACTAGTCTTATGCAACTGCAAATTCGAGGCGATTAACTTCTGTCACGGTCAAAGCTCAATTGAAACCGACACAAATCACAGCCAAAGGCGGGACTCTTCACTCTCTTCCGTCTTAGATGTCCCTCCCAAGCTCCCAAAAAGAAAAAGAGCTCGCTCTCACACACAATTACATAATATGTGGATGCGGAGGTGAGGCAACCCCAGAGCCATGCTATTCGGACAATATTGTTCCGATAAAAATCCCCCTAAATCAAAGAAAAGCGCAGCAAAACAGAAAAACAGAAATGGCTAAAAACAAATCTGTGGGCAATTCAGAGACGTCGAATTCACTCCCGATCGAAGGTGTTGCAGACGTCCGAAATGCCAATTATCAGCAGCCAGAGAGGAGGTTATCTCAATTCCCCGACTTGCCGGCAATTTTCACTTTCAGCTCAATAAATTTTCGTAACAAAAAAAAAAAAACAAGAAAATAAAGAAAAGCAGCGCGGAAACAAGGGAATTTTTTGTTGCGTTGTCTTGATTTTCGAGGAGGGAAGTCACTCAGTTAGTGGCTTGAGAATGACTGACGGATTTGCTCTTTAGGTTTTATTTCTTTTTTACTTTTTAGATCCCCCAGCGACCCATAGTTGCACAATCCACCGCCGCACGCACCAACGGAAGCCGCTGGTAGCCGGGGGAAAACTTGAACAAAGGAAAACGGGACGAAAGCCACAAGTCATTTGGGAGCTACAAAAACAAAAAAAAAAGGGGGATAACGAAAAAATTAAAATATGTATATTTCGTGTATCTTAATTGTTACACTTTTACCGAGCAAGCAACACGTTTCCTTGTTAAGGAACGTTTTAAAACCAAATAATATTTATTTTAAAAACAAGGCCAAAACAGACGGCCCCTCAAAGTATGTTTTCGAAATATACGATATATATACAGCTTCTTTCAAAAACAAGTCCCAATAAATCAACGCCAAAAAGCAGGCAATGAACATTGCATAATCATACCAACACCTATCCCTTAAAGTATGCCCTTCAATCTTTGCTGCAGTTTGAAACCAAAGGAATATACTAACAGATGGCGCAGAAAATCCCCATTGATAATAAATTAAAAAAATTGCCCTATTGTCCCAAAAATGAAAACATACAATTCTTAACTCACCGAGTGCACTGCTAGATGTCGCTGCAACTCCGCGTTGCCAAACTGGGTGAGCTCCGTAATGGTAGGCGAACTCTCCAATTTACTCTCCATGTCGCGCAACCAACGCCGCAGCTCCTTGGGATCCTCACAGAGACCCTCGGGTCGTTGGGTTTCGTCGAGCATCTAAAAAATAATACAAATAATTAATTATCAAATAGTAAAAGGGCTGTACGAAATATATAAGAAATTGTATTTAAGTTGCCAACAAATAAACAAATTACTTCCTCCATTCGCCAGCAGAGGTCGCCACATTACCTTCATGCAACACTCGCTGGATTTTTCCAAAACCGTTGCGGCGCCCTCTATCTCACAGCGAGCCTCCTTGCAGGTATCCAAAAGATTCGTATCCATAATATAATTGTAGTTCGTCTGAATGGCCGCCCAGAGGTCGTCCTTGCCGGAAGAGCCCAGGCCCAATGTGGCGCTGCTGTGGAGACTGGTGGAACTGCACTGACTGTGACCGCTGCCCCACGAATAGCGGTGCATTTTATTGCTGCTCTGCGAGTTTTTCTGAAAAAAAGAAACAAACACACCAAAAACATTTTAAAAAATCAATAAAATAAGTTGAATGTTTCATAAGTAATGTTGAAATTCCAAATCCAAATTTCATAAATTTTAAGTTCTTGTTAAAAGATTCTAAATTGTGTGGCGCCCTCTGACTATTAAATTTTGTGTAAGTCAGGAAAATGTGGCATGTCTTACACAAGTCAAACTGCTAAGGCCGTGTAAAAAAAACTAGAATAATACAAAATTTTTAATATTAAGTTAAGTCTACTCAATTTAAAATCTCCAACAACTAAAATTTAAAAAAAATGACCAAAAATTTGTCCTTTTCTGAATGTCATAAAAGATTCCCCTGTTGATGCTGATCAAGAATATATATGGATTATAGGGTCGGAAACGTCTCCTTCCAAAGTTATACGCTTCTCGGTAAAATTATAAAACCATTTTTTAGTAGATATTTATCTATGTTTTTATGACAATTTTGTCTGGAAATCAAAATTTAAAATTCTCATAACTATGTCAAAAACGCACTAATTTTAATTCGGAAAGCTTTCCTGTGTTAGTTTTTATTAGGTTAACAAATCTGCATACTCAGTTTAAAATTTAAAAAAATTCAATTTTTATCATTTTTTTTTGTTAATTTTATTGATTATAAAATTTGAAAAAAATGGCCAAAAAATTTGTCCTCTTCTGAATGCCCTAAAAGATTCCCCTGTTGATGCTGATCAAGAATATATATGGATTATAGGGTCGGAAACGTCTCCTTCCAAAGTTATACTCTTCTTAGTTAAATTATAAAACCATTTTTTAGTAGATATTTATCTATGTTTTTATGACAATTTTGTCTGGAAATCAAAGTTTAAAATTCTCATAACTATGTCAAAAACGCACTAATTTTAATTCGGAAAGCTTTCCTGTGTTAGTTTTTATTAGGTTAACAAATCTGCATACTCAGTTTAAAATTTAAAAAAATTCAATTTTTTATCATTGTTTTTGTTAATTTTATTGATTATAAAATTGAAAAAAGTGGCCAAAAAATTTGTCCTCTTCTGAATGCCCTAAAAGATTCCCCTGTTGATGCTGATCAAGAATATATATGGGTTATAGGGTCGGAAACGTCTCCTTCCAAAGTTATACTCTTCTCAGTTAAATTATAAAACCATTTTTTAGTAGATATTTATCTATGTTTTTATGACAATTTTGTCTGGAAATCAAAGTTTAAAATTCTCATAACTATGTCAAAAACGCACTAATTTTAATTCGGAAAGCTTTCCTGTGTTAGTTTTTATTAGGTTAACAAATCTGTATACTCAGATTAAAATTTAAAAAAATTCAATTTTTATCATTGTTTTTGTTAATTTTATTGATTATAAAATTGAAAAAAATGTCCAAAAAATTTGTCCTCTTCTGAATGCCCTAAAAGATTCCCCTGTTGATGCTGATCAAGAATATATATGGGTTATAGGGTCGGAAACGTCTCCTTCCAAAGTTATACTCTTCTCAGTTAAATTATAAAACCATTTTTTAGTAGATATTTATCTATGTTTTTATGACAATTTTGTCTGGAAATCAAAGTTTAAAATTCTCATAACTATGTCAAAAACGCACTAATTTTAATTCGGAAAGTTTTCCTGTGTTAGTTTTTATTAGGTTAACAAATCTGCATACTCAGTTTAAAATTTAAAAAAATTCAATTTTTATCATTTTTTTTTGTTAATTTTATTGATTATAAAATTTGAAAAAAATGGCCAAAAAATTTGTCCTCTTCTGAATGCCCTAAAAGATTCCCCTGTTGATGCTGATCAAGAATATATATGGATTATAGGGTCGGAAACGTCTCCTTCCAAAGTTATACTCTTCTTAGTTAAATTATAAAACCATTTTTTAGTAGATATTTATCTATGTTTTTATGACAATTTTGTCTGGAAATCAAAGTTTAAAATTCTCATAACTATGTCAAAAACGCACTAATTTTAATTCGGAAAGCTTTCCTGTGTTAGTTTTTATTAGGTTAACAAATCTGCATACTCAGTTTAAAATTTAAAAAAATTCAATTTTTATCATTGTTTTTGTTAATTTTATTGATTATAAAATTGAAAAAAGTGGCCAAAAAATTTGTCCTCTTCTGAATGCCCTAAAAGATTCCCCTGTTGATGCTGATCAAGAATATATATGGATTATAGGGTCGGAAACGTCTCCTTCCAAAGTTATACTCTTCTTAGTTAAATTATAAAACCATTTTTTAGTAGATATTTATCTATGTTTTTATGACAATTTTGTCTGGAAATCAAAGTTTAAAATTCTCATAACTATGTCAAAAACGCACTAATTTTAATTCGGAAAGCTTTCCTGTGTTAGTTTTTATTAGGTTAACAAATCTGCATACTCAGTTTAAAATTTAAAAAAATTCAATTTTTTATCATTGTTTTTGTTAATTTTATTGATTATAAAATTGAAAAAAGTGGCCAAAAAATTTGTCCTCTTCTGAATGCCCTAAAAGATTCCCCTGTTGATGCTGATCAAGAATATATATGGATTATAGGGTCGGAAACGTCTCCTTCCAAAGTTATACTCTTCTTAGTTAAATTATAAAACCATTTTTTAGTAGATATTTATCTATGTTTTTATGACAATTTTGTCTGGAAATCAAAGTTTAAAATTCTCATAACTATGTCAAAAACGCACTAATTTTAATTCGGAAAGCTTTCCTGTGTTAGTTTTTATTAGGTTAACAAATCTGCATACTCAGTTTAAAATTTAAAAAAATTCAATTTTTTATCATTTTTTTTTGTTAATTTTATTGATTATAAAATTTGAAAAAAATTGCGAAAAAAATTTTCACTCTCCTGAATGCCTAAAAAGATTCCCCTGGTGATGCTGATCAAGAATATATATGGATTATAGGGTCGGAAACGTCTCCTTCCAAAGTTATACGCTTCTCGGTAAAATTATAAAACCATTTTTTAGTAGATATTTATCTATGTTTTTATGACAATTTTGTCTGGAAATCAAAGTTTAAAATTCTCATAACTATGTCAAAAACGCACTAATTTTAATTCGGAAAGTTTTCCTGTGTTAGTTTTTATTAGGTTAACAAATCTGCATACTCAGTTTAAAATTTAAAAAAATTCAATTTTTTATCATTTTTTTTGTTAATTTTATTGATTATAAAATTTGAAAAAAATTGCGAAAAAAATTTTCACTCTCCTGAATGCCTAAAAAGATTCCCCTGGTGATGCTGATCAAGAATATATATGGATTATAGGGTCGGAAACGTCTCCTTCCAAAGTTATACGCTTCTCGGTAAAATTATAAAACCATTTTTTAGTAGATATTTATCTATGTTTTTATGACAATTTTGGCTGGAAATCAAAGTTTAAAATTCTCATAACTATGTCAAAAAACGCACTAATTTTAATTCGGAAAGCTTTCCTGTGTTAGTTTTTATTAGGTTAACAAATCTGTATACTCAGATTAAAATTTAAAAAAATTCAATTTTTTATCATTGTTTTTGTTAATTTTATTGATTATAAAATTGAAAAAAATGTCCAAAAAATTTGTCCTCTTCTGAATGCCCTAAAAGATTCACCTGTTGATGCTGATCAAGAATATATATGGGTTATAGGGTCGGAAACGTCTCCTTCCAAAGTTATACTCTTCTCAGTTAAATTATAAAACCATTTTTTAGTAGATATTTATCTATGTTTTTATGACAATTTTGTCTGGAAATCAAAGTTTAAAATTCTCATAACTATGTCAAAAACGCACTAATTTTAATTCGGAAAGTTTTCCTGTGTTAGTTTTTATTAGGTTAACAAATCTGCATACTCAGTTTAAAATTTAAAAAAATTCAATTTTTTATCATTTTTTTTGTTAATTTTATTGATTATAAAATTTGAAAAAAATTGCGAAAAAAATTTTCACTCTCCTGAATGCCTAAAAAGATTCCCCTGGTGATGCTGATCAAGAATATATATGGATTATAGGGTCGGAAACGTCTCCTTCCAAAGTTATACGCTTCTCGGTAAAATTATAAAACCATTTTTAGTAGATATTTATCTATGTTTTTATGACAATTTTGTCTGGAAATCAAAGTTTAAAATTCTCATAACTATGTCAAAAACGCACTAATTTTAATTCGGAAAGTTTTCCTGTGTTAGTTTTTATTAGGTTAACAAATCTGCATACTCAGTTTAAAATTTAAAAAAATTCAATTTTTTATCATTGTTTTTGTTAATTTTATTGATTATAAAATTTGAAAAAAATTGCCAAAAAAAATTTTCACTCTCCGCAATGCCTAAAAAGATTCCCCTGTTGATGCTGATCAAGAATATATATGGATTATAGGGTCAGAAATAACTCCTTCACCTCGTTGCAGGCTTCTGACTGAAATTTTTATATAAAGATAAAACAATTATATATTTTCAGTTCTAACCAAGTTCAGGAAGTCACTAGCATTTTATTTCCTAGTTTAGCTGATTAAGTAATTATTTAAATATGGCATTAACCAATTCACAAATCAAAATAAAGCTAACAAAGTGACAAATAACAAAATACAAAAGGAGAAATGGCAAACAAACGACAGACAAGCACAATCTCAAGAGCAGCAGAGGGGGGAAGTTGCTAAAAGTTGTTAATAAATAAGTAATTTGAGGCGGGCCAAATACGGTCGGAACAATATGCTTGGCCATCTTGGGAGTAGCCTCCCAGCCTCCGAATCCGATTCCGAACCGATTCCGAAACTGGTTTCCATCGCTCCAAATTGCCAAGCACGCGCAATTAATTAATGCATTTTGTAGTTTGGCCAATAAAGTAGCCACTGAGCAAGGAAATTCCTCATTTACACAGCACATAATGCCATCGTAATTCGGAAAAGCAAACAAAATTGAAAATTGAAAACTGAAATTGAAATCCGAGCAGGAAAAGTATTGATGAAGTGATTCAAAGCTTGCTGCTGCTCTTTCTGCAGATTTGAGTAAATGATTAAGTACAAAAACCGCAATCCCAACTGGTGGGGTTTTCAGGGGTCCGAGTGACTCGCATTTCAGACCAACAAAAAAATATATATATAACAAAAAACAAACCCCTGTCCACAGAGTGACTAAGAAAAGTCTGCGCAAATGCAAGCTGTAAAAATATGCAGGCAGGCCTTGAAAATCAGTATGCGGTCTTGTAAATTTCAACAGATTTTTATCGGTGGGATAAAGATACATTTTATATATATCGCTTTGGCTGTGAGAACGAGGCCACAAACAATTTGATATTTCGATTTTGTGCTTCAGGCCTTCTGATAAGATTCATTTGCAGGCGATTCGGACACACCCCCTTTTGTCGAGATGAATGTGTAAATTATCATTGATTAGGCACTTAAGTATGAATTCACTAACTGGTGTTTAGGCTCAAAACAATACTGGTTTTTCACCCAATGCCTGCTTCGGGAATGTGGTCATTTTCCGCCTGCATTTAGGTAGCATAAAGTATTATGCATTCTTCCAGTTTTTGGCATAAATTAGCAATTTGCGTGGCGCCTATGTAACCGTCGTAACCGTTACAGCTGCGTTGCAGCGACATGCTGATCGGCAAATTTATTAATAATTTATTAAAGCAATTTCCGTTGACACAAGAAATAACTGAAGAGCAAATTCTAACGGGTGCTTGTCATTTTAAGAGACTAAAAACTCGTTAGCGTGTGGAACGCAGACTTAAGTGAGCAAGAGAAGAACAGGAATTTGCACACTGAACACTCAACACAAGTTTTAAATACCCTTAGGCTTTAGGAACTAGATTTTTACCTGTAATTATAATAGGTAAGTCAATTAAAAATAACTAAAATAATTAAATTTAATTGTAAAACTTGAGTAGGTGTGTTTTTTTCGTGGTTCTTCTTGTATGACATGTACTGCAAGTTGTTTTTATAGATCTTGTTTCTTGTTTAAAATAAATGTTTAAATCCAATTCATTTTGGTATGCATTAAGCTATCTTCTCATTACAATTATAATCCCCACAAAAAGTGTATGTCCCCCCCCCAACTGACTTGCTCATATGATCAATTGCAAATTTATGCACAAGCATGCACATTCTCCTCGGCTATAGTATATACCTGCTGTACCCCTTACTCAGATTCTCCCAATCCATTTGCCATTTTTGGAATTCACTCACCTTGAGGCTGTTGTAGGGACGCTCCAAATGGAGCTTGGCCTGGATGACGTCACGCCGCTCCTGTTGCTCCTCGTTCGAGGCCTGCAGTGATGTCATGGACTGCGATTGCTTTATCGAGTCGTTACCAACACTGGCACTGCCGAATTTCAACTGTCCGCCCCCAGTGGCGCCAGTTGGTGAAGCAGCAGCAGCACTTCCATTTCCGGTTCCGGTTCCTGTTTCTCCTGCTCCGTTCGCATTTGCATTTCCACGCGATCCGCGTCGCTTTTTCTTGAGGGAACTACTGCGGCTACTGTTGGCCGATTTAGTGGTTAGCCCCACCGCCCTGTTTGGGGGCGTGGCTGGCACGGCAAAGATGCCGTCAAATTTCAAGGGTTTCGTTGTTGTAGTCGTGGCTTCGGCCGGGCTGGACGACGACTGCAGTTCCAGTTCTCGTTCCATCCCCGATCCGTCATTTCCACCTCGTATCATGGCCGCTTTTTCAGTCTCTTGGTTGCTTGTTGTCATCGCCTCTTCAGCTCTCTTCCCTGATTCTGGGATTTTCCTTTCGTTTTCCTGTTGCGTTTTCATTGTTCTTCTCCAACTTTATTTGGTGGCTACATCGCTTATTCGGAAAGCCAGTTATGTTAATTTGGGGTGGTGGAGCCCAAACCCGAAATTTGCATGTCTGCGAGGTTTCCTCTCATTTCCATTTGCATTGTTTCCGTTCCGTTGCCGGCGTTCCGCTCTTTGACAATGACCTTCAGGTGGTGTCCCTTTCGATTTGCGTTCGTTTTTATGCAAAATAATTGTTTCGTTATTTTGATAAAAGAAAAATGCAGCTTCGTTTTACATATTTACATTAATTCCACTGAAACGAAAAAAATGAAGAGAGAGAAGAGAAAAATATGCACATTAGTTGAAAGGAAATCAAACAAATTAGGAGAAAAATAGGTAGGCCGATATAAAATTATGATTATTTTAATGACCGGGGAGAAGGAGGGACCACCTCATGGAGCGACTGCAGCATAATTAGCCCGGCTGCATTTATTCGTTTCTCATTTTCCGTCCACTAATGATGGGTATTATTACTATAGGCAAAAAGCCATTAAGAAGATGAAAGCGAATTGCACGGTGATCGCCTCTAATATGGATTCATTTCCTACAAGCATTTCTTCGACCCATCCCGGTATGCTGACAGGTGCATTAAATGGAGAATGGAAAATGATTTCTGAGTTGTGGTGTTTGCAATTCCATGCTTACTTCCAACCTTCTTATATGATATTCACATAAGTTTAACATTATTATAAATATAAAGCTTTTTCTGGGATTTCTATTTAATCTTTAAATAACTTTTATATCTCTCAGTTCTTTCTCTCCTCTAATCTTCTACTGAAGAAACTCTTAACCATGTACATCTCTCAGATTACTTTTAATTAATTTATGCTACTTTTGCTACAATTTTATTTATTATTCCCGTACATTTTCGCACACCATATAGTAACGTAACAACGTTGATACTTGTCAGATGTTGCAACACACACTTGCGGTGATGAAAGAACCCCCTCTATCACAGTTCCCCCTTGAGCATTAGCATAATTAAGTCTCCTAAAGAACCCGAGTGCAGTGCATATCAGCCCCCTAGAATCTCATATCTCATATCACACCCACTGCCACTGCCACCAGCAAACAACCAGGTAACCAAGCAAACAAAGCGATACTGCAAACTGTAAACTGTAAACGACAATTAAAAGCAACCGTAACCGGCAGACAGCTAACTACATAATGGCAGAGGCTGCCAGAGGAGCGAGGGGGGAAATTACAATAATTACCAATGCAAATATTACTTAATTTCAGAGCTCTGGTCAACGACTCCCAGACAGCAGCATTATAAACAATGAACACGATTCTAATCGCGGCGCAATCAAATTTTCATACGAAATTAGTCGCGAAAAACACTTGTGGGCCATATTCGTATGCAAATTTACCGGGCACCTCGCTGGAGTGGAGTGTGGAGAGTGCAGAGTGGAGTCCACTGGCACGGAGGCGGTGGGACTTGACTTGTCCAACTCCTAAATTGGCCTGCAAGCGTTCATTTAGCGAGAGATCCGACAGAGATCCGGGGATAGTGGGGAATTATGAATAATAAAATGGAGAACACCAGGTGGGAGGGAGGAGGTGGAAATGGAATAACAAATATAAGTATCTTAATAATAAAAGTAAACTATGAAAATTCATTTATTAACTTGCAACCTCAGGCTTTTTACCATAAAACAATGTGAAATAAAACAACACACTATAAAGAAATTGTTACCATAATAATAGTAATAGTAAATACATAACAGCCATTTAATAAACCAATAATACTTTATAAAAAAACATATCCTATGAGATTTATAAGTAAAACCTGTTTTTTTCACAACTATTCCTTAAATTTCCTACATATTTCACTTTTAAGATATGGTTTTATGTCTCACAGAGACTTTACTTGCATAATTAAGTAATGAATGGCATAGAGAGGTCGCAAGGCTTTTACGTGCTGGCCATTAAATCCAATGTACATTTGCTTTATGACTCACGGCTTGTCTGTTTCCCCTTTTATGCAAATTTTAGCACACGATCCGCATGGAAAATGGGACTCGGTGATGCACTGAACGGCAGTTAAAAAGCCGCTAAAAAGTAAAGGAAGACACACGGACTGCCACTAGGAGGCCTCGGTCGCCTTTCCAACCAATTCATTTGGGGAAATGGCGAATTTCCACCAGTTTGCGCTGGCATTAACATTCAGGTTTATAGCTTTTGGCAATAACAACGTCGATTTCCGCCTGGAAATGCTGAGATTTTATGTTTGAAGAGGAATTACTATTTGGTAATGCATTTTTAGAATCTAAGCAAAGATATACCTCTAAACTAAAAGTAATCAAGCAATCAATGATTAAAGTTCAAAATACTCAATATTAAGCAATAAATACCGTAATAAAGAGATATGCAAATTAATTTTCCTCATTATGCATTAACCAAATATTTAACACTTTCAACTGTGCTGCCTGCCGGGTGCCCTGATAATACCTCACTCTTGTGCCCCAACGGTTTTCTTTTTCAATCTTTTCTTGCCTTTATTTGTCCACCTGTTGAACTCTGTTGCGTAAGACACCTGTAAACATTCGGTAATAAAGGCAAAGCTTCGCCCCCTCCAAGGGTTCCATAGAAAAAGCCGTGTCGAAGCGAAGCCAAAGCCAAAACATGGTCCACATATGGCGACCATAGTTTTTGGCCCCAAACTTTTTACCACAAACTCAAAGCCACAAAGACCCTAAAGAGGGGAGACCCCCAAAGTAGAAGAAGAAGCCACAGCAAAGGCCATTAATAGGCACAAAGAAGAGGCACAGAGAAGACAAAGAGATGAAGATGGAGACGAAGGAGGGCTAAAAATAGACAAATATTTGCGTAGACCGAGTGGTTTGGGGTTGTGGGGAGTGGTTTCGAGGGCTGAGATCCGATAAAGGGGTCTACCGATCACCACGGGTTCCACATTGTCTATGCCAGGCACGAAGTTTTCGAGAAGCTCGTAAATCTAGCCGGTCTGCGTTGTTATTCATAGCTTTAAAACACACAATAGAATCTATTTCTGGAGACGTCACAATCGCCTGTTATGGGTAAGCAAACTTTCGATTTTCATTGAGCTTTATGCCATTATCTTTTTATCTAAATCAAAGTTGTCTGTGAGTTAATATATATATTAGGACTGTCAAGAGGAATGTGTTAATTGAAAACTCTGATTAATAAATTATATATTTGTACAATAGGAAATAGTTGAAGAAATTTATTAATAACTATCAAATCTTAAATTCTTTTAAATACCATTCCAATTTCCCTTTAGCTTTCTTTAAAATCGAAAACAGAACTTTCATTGTTCTGATTCACAGCAACATACAAAAATACTTAAATTTTCATTTCATTTAATTTCCCTTTCCCTTTTGATTTTCACTCACTTCCGTTCGCCGCTTTATGTACTCAACTTTCGGCCGAAAACGAGAACAGAACTCTCCAAAGCTACCGGATGTGAGAACTCACTTAATATCACAGTCTATTCTCACGGTGGAAAACTCAACGGTCAATTAAGGCAAATCAAGTGCAAACAATTGGGCTTCCAATTACTTTGTTTGGTTTCTTTCGATGAACTCTACTCGGGCCTAGATTAGATAGAAGCGATAGGAGACACTCGAGTGGCCCGAAACGAAATCAATTATGGGAGTATTTATAAATAGTGAATTATCTGGGGGCCAAGGTGGAGATAAGACCTGCTAGTATAGTCTAGTGCCATAATTTAGTCATCAGCTGGCTTTAGGTGTGAAGTCATGAATAAGAATGCAGATAAGATCGCTTCTAGAGGTGATGAATTTTAGAGACTTGGTAGGTAGTTAAAGAAAAAATTGTTGAAAAATTGTTCAAAGTTTAGATATTGCTCCTAATGATATTATTTAAACCTACCAAGAATTCCAAATCTAAAAGCAAGAGCTTGAACCCCTTGAAGACAAAAGTCGTCGACAGAAATGGACAATCGGAGACCAAGACGGAGACAATCGACATTCCGCAGACCAAAGCTTAATTAAAATATGGTTTATATCGCACCAAGAATAAACTGCGATCGCAGTCAGAGCTATATTGTTTATATACATACAACATATATACATTTACGAGCCAGACAGCAGCCACTTCTTGCTGAATTCTTCCAAGAATCACGTTGGCATGACCAGCGTTTGCCACACATTTGGCCATTCGGGCCCAGTTGACCAGGCTAAGAGCCATGATTGGATCCACGGGGAAAGACCCCCAAAGGCAGGCAACTTGCCATAAATTGTCAATTGCCAAAGACAGTTGTAGCAGCAGCGACAACAACTGCAACAGCAATAACTGCAACAGCTGCTGTTGCAGCAGCAACACCTAATGAATTGTTAACTGCTTAGAATCCAATATAAAGCGGGTGCACACAAAGAAAAGGAGAGAAATCATAAAATAAGTCATAAAAAAATTATAAATATAATCTTATAATTACATCATAAATAAATAAGCAAAATAATAGAATTATCAATATGGATTTGAGGCCTCTAGAATACTCATACTTGAGGCCTTTTCTTAGTTAAAAATATTATTATACCCTTGCATTATTGCAATTTTTTTGAGTGTACTCTGCTTTTCGAGACAGAGACCAGACAGCGTCACTTTTGGCACACGTGAATGTTGGCCAAGTGGCCAAATAATCGCCTCCAATCTGGCGACAATAACCATAACCATATTGACTTGTAACCAACGGCAAAAATATTTCCACAGAGTATCGATCGGAGGGAATTCGGAAAAGCTGAGGGGCCAAGGTATTGGAGCAAGCCGCAGCACGCCAATCGCAAAAAGAAAAACACAGAAAACAATCACAATATGTGGTACAGTGCAACCCAGTTTAATTGAAGGGGACAAAAGGGGGTTCCCCGTGGGCACTCAGAGACAATGAATTGTTTAATTTGTTGTGGTCGTGTCGGGCTTTGACAAACTTTTATAGGTCGGCATATGAGATATGTCTCGGCACGCGAGTGCAAGAGATTTCCGATAGCCACAGATTTAGACAAGTTATACCTTAACTTATTCTCTTCTTCGTAATTTATTATTATAAACTATTTCCGTACCTTTTCTATAAATTTTTATAAATTTCATTTTCACCTAAAATGTTTTTTGATGCATAATTTCCATTCGTTTTTAAGGCACTCCCACAACTTTTATAATCCTTGATCTGTTATGCAATCCCAAAGACCTCCACAATTTCAGGGTATCCACATCCACTCACTTGGGATACATTTGTCTGAATGTCGCACTGAAAAATGAAAACATTGCGAATTCCTTCGCCTTTGCCATGAACCTCCCCTGACTTTGTCACCTTCTCTTCGCCGCCGAGGGAAAGGGGAGCGAAAATAAATGTGTACAAAAATAAATGCACATAAAACAAATACAGAAAATATAAAGAAAAAGGCAACTGCAAGCACAGGGCGACAGATGGCGACATGGAACATGGACACGAAATAAAGGTGGTGGACTCAGAGGACGCAAACAAAAGGAGACCACTTTTGTTTTGGTTTTATTTCTGTTGATTTTTTGGTGCAAAAGCAATTAGAGAAGTGGTTCACCATTAAAAGGAAGCAGAAAAAAAAAAACGAAAGTTATCGTGGCTCCGAAAGTGGGGACAATCACTGAAACTACCCCCTCTACTGATCTGTTTGTTGTCTTCACTACAGTCTTTTCTCAGAAATGCTTTAAATTAAATAATCAAAAGTTTTAAGTAAATAATTAAATGATAATGAATTAAAATAAATTATTTAACTTTTGATTTAAAGATTGATTTTTATGAATACCATCCAATGTTAAATATTTTCAAAAGTAGCTCTACCGTATATCTTTTTTGTCGCCATTTTTTTTAGTTGTCGCCAACGAAATTTGTCTACAACTTATAAACATTTTTGGCTCCAATCCACAAACTCCCAGTGTCCCCCACAACACAACATACACCCGTTCCCCATTGGCGGCATTCCTGAGCATATGATAAATGTTTCGTGTTTTTGTCTGCTTTGGCGTTTCGAACACGTTTCCCCGTGTTCTGCGATCCCCATATCCAACACCAACACCACAACCACAACCACATTACACATGGCACACACAGAAAAGGCCATCAAGTTTAGAAAATAAAATTAACGAAAAGAAATAGATTAAGGAAAAACTAGTCCCGATTTGCCACGCCTTTCGTTCGTTCGTTTGTTAAGACTGACCCAGCAAATGAACAAAATGAACAAAGTGAACCAGCTGAACCGAGGCGGTAACTCTTTCGGGCGATGACAGGTGGTGAGGCTGTTAATAACCCACAGTCACACCCCCCAAAGTGGCTGATCAGTGATCTGTTCGCTGTGCTATAGCTATAGCAAATTAGGGGTTTTGGGTGGTGCCAGAAAGCAAAAAGCATAAATTCAGGGAACCCACTTAGCAACAGGAAAGCATTCAGATTTATGGAAATTATTTATTCTGATTTAGTGCTTAGTTATTAAACTTAAAGGGGCGGAGGACTAAAAGGTATATAAATAAAACAATCTATTTCATTTGAACTCTTGAAAAGTTAAACCTTAAGTAATATTCTCTGAGAATAAAATGCATATTTTCTTGACTCTGACATTGACCCACTTATGAATGGCTACAGTTTCCCCAATTCAAAGTAGTTTTCTTCAATTAAAACCAACTTAATGACTCAAGTCCAGACTCCAATTCATGCGGCTCAACTCTCTTAATTAACCCATTATGCCACTGAGCATTAAGCACACTCACATGGCAGCCACAGATTCGGAGATACAGATGGAAGCTGCTAATAAAACCATCTGTAGCGTTTCGCTCTTAGCCAAGTTAATTAACTGAAAATTACTCACTTAATCGAGTGTGAAAAGCGCGCAAATTTTGCGAAAGTCGAAATCCATTGGACAATCAGTGATTCCGCTCGTCCATTCGAATCCATTCAATTCACTTTTGGAGCTGAAACGAGAAAATTAAATGCGTGTTAAAACAAATAAGCGTAATGATGTGAAAATGTTTTGAATTTGAATGGAGCGGAAGCAAATTTGACAAATGACAACAACAACAACGGCGGCGCACAGCCGAGTGGAAAATGTGGAAAATTGCTTACCAATGTTCAAGATTAGCACTTGGTAGAAAAAATTACATAATACGCGAGCGGAGAGAGCAGAAACTGAGGCATAAACCATCAACTTTTACCCGCCAACATTATTTGCGTTGATACCCTGGCTGGGGGTATCATCATCAGTTTGATGGGACTTTCGAAACTAGCTTCGTCTATATGAATATGGCTATTTTATGCCTTCGATTAGTTAAAAATTAAAGGTAGGAATTTCCAATTGTCTCTAAAAGTTTATATTTTTATACGTGCTACATAAGACCGAGCATAAGGTCTTTGCATCTTATTGGAATTCTAAATAACCTGAACAAAGGTATTTCCTATGTCGTACTTCTACATTTTTTCCCCCTATTTCCCTGCCTTTTTTGATGGCAACCTTTCGCCAAACACTCTCCGCAGACAACCTCGAAGCTGTCTCCAGTGATAAATCAGCACGGAGCTCCGAAAACTCCTCAAAAAGGAAAAATAAGGCAAATGATTCCCAACAAACAACTCCCACAAACTTCAAAGTTGCACGACATATTTTCGGTGCAATTCGCTCGATTTTCTTTGTTGTTGTTTCTTTTTTTGACCGGGGGCGTCTCGCATAACAATTCATTATCATTAATTATATTTGCACTCAAATTGCACAAACGGAAAACTAGGAAAACGCTGAAAAACTCAAACAGCGACAACTCCCGACTCCCGAGCATGAAAAATTGAACAATGTCGATTAAATTGAAAACAATTTTACGCTGCAAAATTTCAATATTTCCCGTCATTCGCCGTTAGGCTAACAGCAAATCCAACTCTGGGACGGCATTCCCGAACCCAAAACAAAACAAAAAAAAAGAGTCCAGAGAGGGGAAATATGGCTCATAAAGCATCGCAACATCAACATCGGCAACAACAATTTATTGGTCGCATTAACCTCAGCGAACTCTCTCACTTTTCTGGGCCGCCCAGGGGTTACGAGGGGGTTTCTCCAGGGGAGTCTCAATCGATGCGAGTTGTGAAAATATCATTTACAGGCAATTTGTGAAAAGCAACAACCAACGGCAGCGGCAGCAGCCACAGCCAAGCCAAGCTGCAAACTCTGCGAAATTTGCACGAACAAGAAGGAAAAATACAAAATAAAAATCAAAATCAAAAAAACAAATGAACGGCGTTTTACTTTAAACAACAACAAACCCAAAAAAAAAAAAATTGTTAAGAAACTAAAAGGGGAACAACGGCGGGCGAGGTATCTGCAGTGGTCAAGTTGTTAAAGTCGGAAATGGGCACAAACGTCGATCGTCAGCGGTCGACAACAGCCACAGCAGCGGCGGACGACAACGTCTCCAGGCGATAATTGGATCCCTTTCCAAGTCGGTCGCGGAGTTACAGAGTTACGGAGTCAAGGGGCCAGAGGTTTGGGGAAGAGGTTCGGCTCAGGGGAGTGAGTGCTAGAAATTCAATATACTTCATTTTCGGTCGAGTGGGAAATTTGCCTAGCCAGTTGAGGAGGTTATGATTGAAGTTAACTGGAAATGAATACAAAAGTGAACACCCAAACCTTCAGAATGAACAGTGAATTGAGAAAAGGTAATGCCTGTGCCCTAAAGCTCCAACTGTACTCTCACTTAAGACACTCATTCATTTAGTTTTAAATATAAATTCCTAAGCGTAATTCTAGAACCCTTTTATGCCAAGCACCCAATACTTGACACATTCTCTTATTCGCTTATCCAACGCTCTCATAACTCTTTTGTTTCGCGCTTTTTTCCAGTTTATTTTTGCGCCAAACTGAAATTTAATCCAAAAGTGAAAAACCAGATGCGGAACAAACAGAAATTCTGTCACGTGAGACAGAGAGTCAGTAAACGCAACATTTTCGGCTGCCTTAGCACAAACAAAGGAAATTAATAATGAAAACAAAAAGCGAATTCAAGAGCTTTTCAAAGAACTGTCGGCCAAAAAAAGAGAGATATCAATTCGAGTGTTTCGTGTGAAAAAGAACAAACTTTAACGAACATCCCACTTGAGTTCATTAACAAAGTCCCCCTCCCGGACTGAAAGTGAAAGAGGAAGAGCTGCGACGCGCACAGTGAAATGAAATGAAATGCATTCGAAATGCAATAGAAAGTGAAATGCGTTGGAAAAACAAAACCGACAACGGAAAATCTCTTCCACCAATACCACCATATACTATAATACCAAATGAGCCGCTAGATGCTGGCGATATGTGCTATGGACGGACCCAAACCGAACCGAGCCCCCTCGCCAGCTCACACATGACCTTGTTCGCAAATTCTGTTGACGTACATCGAACATGGGTGCCACCATCATCCCATACCATCCCATGCCTTGCCATCCGATCCACCTCGCCATGCCATCCTTGGCTCTTTTCCAGCCGATTGCCATCAAGAAATATTTGAGATTCACTTTCGGTGCCAGCAAAGGCAGCTGAATCCAGCGGCGAGTGCCTCCAAACCAAAGACAGCCACTGGCCCAGCAGAAAAATAACAAAAAACAATGCCTCCGCGCAGCACATTGACAACTCATAGATAAAATGCTTTTCTTTAACTATGACGCGACTTCCAACTGCGACGGCGGCCTCTTCTCAATGGGTATACAAAAAACAATGACAAACTCTTCCATTGCCACTGCTACTGCAACGTGGAAAGTGGAGACACACGAGGAAAGCCACCACACATCGGTCGAATCAAAATAGTTTTCTGTGATTAATGCCGATTTTTCTATACACTATTTGGGGAAACTTCCCCTACTTTGAGTCTTAGAATTATGTGATTTATAAATAGCTTTCAAAAAAGTTCATTTTATAACATGTAAACTACATACATACAGAGGTCATAATAAATTTCCATCTATAATTCTTAACTGACGCTTGAAAAACCCAAAACTATATACTTATTAGATACTTTATAAACGCCTTAAAGTGTTTCCAAATGCATACCATTTTTGGGTAATATAACAATATTTTTAAAGCTACTTCTTAACTTGTGATTAAATTTTCAGTTAGGGTATCAAAAATGATCGTCAACTTGTTGGGGATATGTGTGGGCTGGCATTCGGCACTCGGCTGCATCCAGTATTCACTATTCGGGCACCAAAGACTCGAATGAAATGCCACAGATTCGTTTTTGATAAAATGCCAGGCAACACAACAAGTTGGGATCCAAAGAAAAAAAAACAAGTGAGAACCGGGGCAAGACGAGGGGCTAATGAGGGAAGAGAGATGGCGCAGGCGCGAACCCGCCAGGTGATAAATCTCGCTAACCAACTTTTGCCAATGCAATTGCAGAGAAATAAGCAGAGGAAACGAGAGTAGACGTTAGTTAGACGTTAGGAAAATCGGGGCAAGAGGTTCGGAGAGATGCTATGCGTAAGAGGCATTCATATAGTCGGTCTGCCGATCCGATAATTGGGCCAAAACCGAATGATGGGGGCCTGGCAGCGGCAGGTCGAGCAGGTAATTGATATGTTTACAGCTCCATTTTATTCGCAACTCAATTAAAGTCGCGTCAAGCTGTGACAAGCCATAAACCGAGGAAGACAATCCAACAATTAGAGTCTCGATTTGTTTCAGTTTTGGTTTGTTCACTTTCGTTTTCCATTTCGCTTCAATGTGTGAAAGGTCCTCAGGTGATCAGAGATCGGTGATCTTCAGGTGCTCTTTATTGACGTTTTTCTCTGACTGCTTCTTCACCGACTAATAGGTCCAAAGTGATCTTTAACTATGAGATGCGATCTCATTCATCTGGCAACAACTTGGAGTGACTTTTCTCATTGAGATACGATCAATTGGGCTACGATTGGTGGTGACAATTAACTGACAGTTAAGCTTGAGGCATAGATAATGTCAAGATCAATGGATTTTTAAGTGATCTTCATGGCTTGCTGACTTTTCAATACAATTCAATATAACTGGGTCTTGACTTTAAGCCAATCACACATCCCATTCATTCATAACGCACACAGCAACTTCAGTTATAAAATCGGTGGCTTTAATTATACCTTTTATTTGTTGGATTAATTGCACGACTCTTCAGAAATCAATAAGTTGCTTTGTTAATAATCAGTAATTAGAGGCTAAAGCTCTTAGCTTTCGAGATCTCTTGGCTAGATAAAGATCTCGGCACCAAATATTGAACCTAAGCTCTCCGATCTTGATACTTGCAGCGCCGCGGCGTCTGATCTCTTGGTCCCAATTGGCTTTTAATTGACCAACCCAAATTGCTCAATATCAAGTTTTTCCTTTAATATTTAGGTCGCCGCCTGGTTTCGATTATGTAAAGTCCTCCGCACATGTGGAAAAGCCAGACGCTCGTTTGACAGACTAACTGACTCAAACTGACTCATATTTTCGAATGATTCGAGTTGCGCGAATAAAAACAAAGCAGATTTACACTTTTTACAAGGAGCAATTAAAAAGGCATCAACGCACTACAAAAACAAGGAGGGAAACTCGTTTACTTTTGAGTGACATGAAATTGAAATTGAGATACTTGTTGGAATTTTTTCGGGGATCCAAGCGTGTCCCTGGCATCTGGAAAATGTTCGTTAATTGTGCAAAATGCAACCATTGGCCATTGTCGCACAGCTCGGGACTTTTACTTTGGCCACTAAACAAACTAGCAAACAAACTGCAGCACTTCCTGTGCCCCATCAAAGCCAAGAGACATGCAACATGGAATCAGCTTTTGTTGTTTTTCGGCTTCGGGTTCGGTTTCGGTTTGTTTTTCTCTAATGATTAATTGACTTTTGCACCCGAAACACGTTCGATCTATGTTTGATCTTTGCTTCCTTCGGTGACTGCCTCCATTGCCACAGCCCCGTCTCGTCTTTGTTCAATTGGAAA